AGGTGTTTGAGCAACGTTACTTTGGTAATAATGCATTCTTGAATAGTGTATTGATGATAAATGTGTGGTTAAATAATAAGGAATTTTTTTTGATCTGCATGTAATATTATTTTATTGAAAAATGTGTGGTTAAAATGATGTCAAATCACTATTTAAGAATGTATTTTTTTGGAATAATGTGACTCAAACAGGCTCCAAAAGTCAAGTTATGTGGTTTATGATATTTTCATTAAAAAGTGACGTAGCATGTTGTGCCACTTTTTAATTAAAATGTCACACACAATCAATTTCTAATATAATAGCTCATCTTTGGCTAAGAACTTCTTTAAGATGTTATTTATTTTGTATTATGTTAGATGTGAGTTAAGTTTTCATGATAGAGAAAGTGATATTGTATGTTACTTTTTAATTAGAAAGTCTTAATTGACTTTATATAATATTTTTTACTTTCAAAATATTTTTCATATAATTTTTCAAAAGGCCGCTGGTTTTAGGGATAATTTATGTAAGTTACCCAATTTCCAAATCTAATTCTGATGGGCAATGGCCTTCATAGAAAATCTCTTGTGAGGCCAGCCCACGAAGTCATTGGATGATGGATTGGCCCAGGGTCTAATGGTGAGATTTGCAACCCTTTCCTTGAGGGAAAATCGTCCAATTTCCTAATACACCCCCAATCCCCTCACGTCAACCGTTAACCTCCCGGAAAGTACTACATGTACATAATTGTCTATATAATGGTATCCATAATTACACGTGACACTAGATCCAACATTTAATTCAAATCTCATACTTGTACATCAACAACCGAATGATTGTCACATCACGTTATGGACACCATTATGTGCAATAATTATGTACAAGTAAAATTTTTCTACCCCCCAAAAAAATCCCATGTCACCTCACCTGACCCTAATTCATTTTTCACCCCTACGATCATAATGTCGCTTCTACAACACAAACCAAAATTCCCACACGCTTATCGGGTGTAAATTGGTCAACAATGACGTTGCCACCTTTTTCTTCGCCACCTTCCTCTCCGACATTGCCATTTTCTTCTCCGGTCACACGCAGATCTATCTATTTATCGCCTTACTATCATCCACAATTAAATCTTTCGGTGCTAAATTAACAAATCACCGCACCAACCCACCAAAATCACTGTTGCGATGACCACAAATGTTCAATTTGACTGGCGAAGCTGTTGAATATAAAGGTAGAGATTAGTGGTAGAGGCTAAATGGACAATACAGGTTGTTGTGAACTTGTAGATGACGAAGGTGCAGGTGGTAGTGGCAGGTTTGGAAATTCTGTTGGTGGGGAACCTCTGGTTGGTTGGAGGTAGAGGTAGTGGTTATAGTGTGGTAAGGTAGAGGAGACAGTGGATTTGAAGAGGAAGTGGTGGTGATTGTGTTGTGCAGGTGGTGGCGGCATTGCATTTCTAATTGTGTGGTGGTGGTGGTGCAAGTGTGGTTGGTAGGAGTTGGAGGTAGAGGTGATGGTAGATACAAGAAGGCGGTTAAGGTAATCGTTGGTACAAGGGTGGTGGTAAAGTGGAGTGGTGAGGGATGAAGAGCATATATGATTAATAATTTGGGTAATTGTGACCAATAATTTGTGATTAATAAATAAGTTGTGATATAAAAAAATATATTATTTGCAACTCAGACCTTGTTTGATTTACATTCTTTTCAAAAAAAAAAATACATTATTAACCAATGATTTAATATTATTTTAATTACATATTCTTTAATATAATAATATTATATGCAAACTTAACACTTTTTCTTATTTTTTAATCACACATGTCTCATCAATACACTATTCGAAAATGCATTCTTATTAAAATAATATGACTCAAACAAGGGTTAAATTTATGACTATAACTCACAATTTCTATATTTGTGATTATGTATTTGAGTGATTTGTGATTAGTACGTGATTGTGATCACAAATTGTATCTGATTAATTAAATTATTAGAGAGTGTTTGATTCTCATTTCTCTCAAAATATATTTTTCCCTCTTTTCTTTTCAATTACATATTCTTCATTAAAATAATATTACACGCAAACAAAAAAATTTCCTTCTTTTTCAACCACACATTTTACATCAATTTACTGTTCCAAAATATATTCTTCAAAAAGAATGGGGCTCGAACACCAAGTCATAAACTTTTATCAATGTCATAAAATGTTACCATACACGTGTTTATTAATTTTGAGAATGTTGTCACGTGCACTAATGTGCAGTGAAGGGGCGGTTGGAGAGTATCCAAGTAACTTGATACCCCTCCCTCTCTTTATGCACCATTTTACTTCCCTCCAAAGTCTCTTTTTCTTCCCCAAATCCTCGTTGGTATATAAATAATCCCAGCTAATTGCATTCAGTTCACCAGTTTTCCACTCTCCAATTCACACGCGCACACACACAATGTCGGACTGGGGACCGGTATTTGTTGCAGTGATACTTTTCATACTGTTATCGCCGGGGTTGCTATTCCAGCTTCCCGGCCAACGGAGATGTGTGGAATTCGGTAATTTCCAGACGAGCGGCGCCGCCATTATTATTCATTCCTTGCTCTACTTCGCTCTGATTTGTGTTTTCCTGCTAGCTATCAAAGTTCACTTGTACCTTGGTTGAATTTGAATATGAAGCTATCTAAATTTTTTCAATGGAGTCCAGTGGCTAGTCCACTGAGTTATGCTCCAGGGCTTAAATTATTGATGAATAAGCATTTTTCGAAATGTACTTTTTAGTCAATTCTTATATTGATTTGGTGTGGTCTCTTGTTATACGGCTGAATAACAAAATCGTCAAACAACAAAATCGAACCGAAATCCTTTTTTTGAAATCGTTAATTTAGTTTTATGTGGATCCGTCAACATTTTGGTTTTGAATCAAACCAAAGTGGTTTGGTTTAGATTTCAATCTTTGCAAATCATTTCAACCGTCAAACCATTTACCAAAAAAAAAAAAATCTAAAAATATATTAATCTAAATTTTATTTAACCCAATTAAAACTTAATACATTTCAGTTCAAAAAGTACATCCATATTAGACATAATTCAATTAAACTCAATTTAACAACTATACATCTTAAATAATTAATTAAATCATATTCAAATATCCATCAATCATCACAATTGTAAATGTAAAATCCTCAAATTGGATAAAGTATTGAATAACTGCTTCTAAACCATATTCATCGATCCTCCATTATAATTGAGCACACAATTGAATCTAAAATTCTAGATTTTAATTCAAACTTGCACATTTTATTTCCTTCTATTAATAATTTTCTCAAATTTTGCCTAAATTCAAGTCACATTATCCAAATTCTTTTATTTTTTGGTAATTTTCTTTGTTTTTATTGATAATTATGTTGTTTTATTCTAATAACTATCGGGCTCCTTTAAATTAATTCATCAATATATGGATCGAGTAGAAGCATTGAATGATTTACAAAAAAGTCACAATAGCTAGTTATTATTGTATTGTAATTTTTTATTAGTTATTTTATATCATTTAACTATAACCAATGAATTCATGTACTATATTTTTATATTTATGAAAAGAATGAATCGTGTATTACAATTGTAGATGGACGTCATTAGTATTAACTAAGAGTTTAAAATATTTACATCATATTGTTACATTATAATGACTATAAGTATATAACTTTGATTTTTAATTTGCTTTAATAATACAATTTATATTTTAATATGAAATTTTAGACTAGCATTTATGATATAACTTATTTGATATATATTAAATTTTTCTTTGTTAAACTGTCGTTTTAAATCAAACCAAACCCAAAAAGAAAATGGTTTGGTTTAGAAATTGAAGTGGTTTGGTTTGGTTTGAAAGAATTCCAAACTATTTTAAATGGTTTGATTTAAAAATTTGTTTCAAATCGTCCAAATCGAATCATGTTGATCCTTGACTTGATAGGAGTGTGTTTGGTGGCTAAAAATTGTAATTTTATCAGTAAAATTTGTGACATGGTAATGGAGATTGTAGCCCTTTTTTCCACCCATAAGTCTTCTTCATGACCGCCGTCAGTATTAGACTTCAAAACTAATTCTAAAATATTGTTTTTTCTTTCTATTTTTTTTTATTATTATTTTTTGGATAAGTAAAAGTCAGTCAATGTTTATAAACGATCAAAAATGTTTTGGTTAAGTAAAAGTCGTTCAATGTGTTGTATAAGTAAAAGTCAGTCAATTGTTTTACTTTGTACATTGTTTTTCATAGGTCATTAAACCTTAAAGTTTTCTTGGATGGTCATTGAACTTGTCAAATTGTTATTTCAGATAGTAATTGAACTTATTAAATCGTTATATGTTGCCGTTAAATTTTAAAAGTTTTTCGAATGATTATCAAACTTATCAAATTGTTATCCCATTGATCACTTAATAACTTATAATTACAAAATACGCTGGATTCACTAACATTGCACATTATCGCCGTTAATTGATGACAAATTAACCAAAAGCGCTTTATAAAAAAAATGCAATTTAACGGGGGAAAAAGCTATTAAAAAACAATACTAAGAAAAAAAAGATTAAAAAAATGCAAAATGTTAAAATTCAATCACTTTTTTATTGAAACTGTTGGATTTTTAGTTGTTGATATATTAATGGATGAT